AAAACATATACCATTTTTCTATGATAGCTTTGATTGCACTACTTCAGTTTTTAAAATAAGCATACAGAATAGTATTATAATGTTCATGTTTATGGATTATTTGCTATGTTTTTGACACTATGCTATGTTTTATATGCATTATTTCACAACAACACTACCTTTCACAGTTGTTACCAAAAAAGTGTTTAGCATTACCTGGTATATAATAAGCTCTGTTGTTTCCTGTGCTGAATTTTGCGCTCTGCATTCAGATTATCCCCTCCAGAAATCTAAGAGGAGATAGTTTAGCATAATGGTTAAAAACATGGGCCTTGAAATTAGGTTTGAATAACTGTTTTGTAGCTGGCAACTGTCTGTGTGAACTTTGGCAATTTGTTCAAAGACTCTGTACCTCAATTTTTTCATACATAAAATGGGTAAATTAGTACTTTTATATAAGTTTGTTGTGGGTATTAAACGACATAATAAAAATAAAGTTGCATATCATTGCATGTCCCACAGAATATCCTCTATAAATAGTAGTTGATGCATAACTATAATTAAGCATGTGAGTATTTGTTGATCAAATCAATCAAAAGCTGTGTCAGCATGGAAAAATATTTAAATTTTCCAGAGTAATGGGCAAAGCTATAAGGCTCTGCCATTGTGCTGATCCTTAAGGATGGTCAATTTCCAGGCCAAAGAAAAAATAATATTCCAAACAAGAAGAGCTGTCAGAACAAAATAGTCGAATGCATCTAGGTCCCAGTATCCTAGATAGAGAATGGTAGGAAGATATATTTCCTTAAGCCTGGTTGAAACTGCAGTCCCTACATTTAGAAATAAATTATGTTTTCAGAAGGGATATCTTGGTTTGAATGTTTGACTTCTCTCTTAAAACACGTGAATTGCTTACATGTTTGAGTCTCCTATTGATCATAACACCTTAAGGTGTGGGGCCATGACTTAGTCATTTGCATCTCCACCACAATGCCTAGCCCAAGTTTTGGCAATATTTGTATTGCAATATTTATCATTCAATAAATATTTGTTGGGTGAGTGAGGGGACCAATAAATTAATGCATATGCATTTTGAGGACTGTATATATAACAATTCTCTGAGGCGAAAGAGGATTAGAAGTTACTTAGTTCCAATCTTATATATATCTCAGACACATTTCAATAGATCTTTAGAAAGAAAATCAGTGGATTAGATTCCATGGTAGTGAAAGTTATTGCCTGGGTACTCTGATAGTTGAAGCTAAGTATAAAATGAAAATCTCTAATTGGAAGGCAATCCTTGAAAGTAGGCTAGGGGAACTGAGAAGAGACAGGCAAGAGAAAGAAATCAGGTTGTGATTATAAAGTTACTGCCATATGAAACTTTGCCTCAGTTCCACTGGCAACCTGTTAGGGAGTGCATAGAGTAAGTCTCAGATTTATCCCACCTAGAAGGGTGAGGGAGCTGGAGTACATATCTACCAATTTATATCAGTCTTCGATGAGGCTGCTCCTGTGTTAACTCTGAGTCAGTCTGGCCTGTCCAGTATGCACGATAAACACACCCCATATATCCAGAGAAAGCTTTTAGGTACAGTGGCAGAGAACTGTAATAGAAGGTCATATGCTGAGGGGGATTTGGGCATTTCCTCTGCCATTATCTGCTCTCATCTACACCTACCATGCTCAGGCTCACTCCTGCTGCATAAGAAGTTCACTCTGTCCTTTCACTGGTTTTTCAAATAAGTCACTGGTAATACTTCCAAGGAAAGAGAGAGAGAACACTAACAGCAGAGAGTTGGTGGGACAAGCTACATTCTCCACTGTGGTAGTTCATCTGGAGATCATAATTAATTCCATAATTAATATTCACCATTTCCTTCTTCTAACACTTCCATTCCTTTGACCAAACTACTTCTAGTCTAGGTTCATTGTGTGGTGCAATAACTCAGACATTTATCCTCGAGAGTATGAGTCCCTGGTTATTTGTCCTCAGATGTTATTGCTGCAATTGCCTTTTCAGGTATCACCAGCCATGGAAGAATCAAGAGGTTACCCTCGCGTGTCCCATTAATTCCAGACACACTACTCCCTGCTCCATTATTTAGCAGCAGCCCTGTTTCCTCTTGGTCATTAGGATGGACTACCCCTGGCTGTATGGTAACTACCTTTTTTGGATGCCTACCTATAGACCTTAGGAGTCCCAAATAATAGAACAGCAGCCAAAGCTGCAGATTTATTTAGTGGAACACTCACTGTGTCTCCTAGTAGAAGTATCACGACCTCTAATTATGCAAAACCTGAAGCTGTGACAAGAAGTGATTATTAAAAGTGAAGTGAGATGCTTAAATGGATTATTAAAAGTGAAGTGAGACGCTCCACTCCCACTTCTACCTGAACTGCTAGGACTAAAAGGTAGAAGTGGGAGTTGAGCCATATATGGTATAATTGCTGTATATACCATATACACTAACATCACTTAATAGTCTACTGCATCTTGAACTTTAGCCATATAAGGGACCATTCCCATCAAAACCCAGAAACATTTCCAATATCTCAAACTGGGTCATTAGGAAACAGCCACCACTGGGCTGCTCAGTGATGGCTGCATCCCATTTTTAGAACACTTATTCTTGCTGTAGTGAAGGGAGTGTCTTCTGAGCTCTCCTGAGGAACATAATTAGCTGGTAGGTTGTCTAGCCTTTCAAAATAAACACACATTCTAATATTCCCAATTCTGTGAGACCTTGGATCTCTTCTCCAGTATTTTGCCAGTGTAGTTCTGGCATGTCCTCATCATTTATTTTAAGCTAACATCATTTGCAAGCTTCAAGGAGCCAAGCCACTCCAGGAGCATATTAGCATCAACTTTAGGTGAACTTGCCAGAATTAACTCATGAAAGAGAGCCCTTATAGAGTATCTACTATCTGATCTTACCTCCACAATCCAATATTCAATATCACAAGATCAATACTCTGGAATGTTCTCCAGTTTAGTACTAGTATTTTTTTTTTTTGAGTTGGAGTCTCACTCTGTCGCCCAGACTGGAGTGCAGTGGCCGCTCCCGGCCACTGCAGCCTCGACCTGCTGGGCTCCGGCGGTCCTTCCACCTCAGCCTTCCAAGTACCTGGAACTACAGGCGCGCACTACCACACCCGGCTAGTTTTTTTTTTTTATTTATTGTAGAGATGAGGACTCACCAAGTTGCCCAGGCGGGTCTCGAACCTGTGGGCTCGGGCAATCCACTCACCTCAGTCTCCCAAAGGCGTGGGATTATAGGCTGAGTCACCAAACCCAGCAGTACTAGTATTTATTAGCCAGATTCTGCAGTTCATTTGATGAATAATCCCTTTCACCCTGCAACACACATCATCCTTTTCTACTCAGGTCATGCCAAGACTTGGCCCTTGTTATATGTCTACAAGCAGTGAGGAGAAATGGAAGCAGAACTTGAGAAGGGCAAGCAACACCTTAACACATCCTACTGAGGCAGGGCTTTTATAGGCAATTAACTGTTCTCCTACTGGAAAGAGTAAGGGGCCTTTTTTCTAGGCTAGAGTTTCAGAAGAACCTTCAGAAGAATCATGACACTTAAGGACATCTATCCAAATTTCTCATCTTTTATTTTAGGGTCCCATTACTTTCCCATAAGGGTCTTAACTTCAGTGAAAAAAAAATTTGGCAGCTCTGTGAATCTGGCCTCTTATACAACTCTGCCTCTCCTAAAATCAAATCTTGAACCTGATTTTCAGCATGATCTGTCCTTTAACTGAAGAAAATGAGGGTCATTTTGATTGTTGCTTGGAGTGCTTCACTTTTCACACAGACTCCTAAATTAAGTGTTGGCTAATCTGAGTCTGTAATTTTAATTTTCATTCAGAGTTTCTATGGCAATTAACTAACTCTGCAATCTCACATCTTTCAAACACAAGAGTAGTAGCATTTCCATCCATCTACATCCTATCTACTTGATGCCAGTCTTTGTAATTATGGTGCACTGACTTACAGAGATCAGCTTCACGATGTTATCCACCAGCAAGAGTCCTTGCTATCACCTGGGTGATGAATGATTCAGTTTCAGAAGCTGATACTAAGAACCTGCTTCTTAGGATCACTTCTGTCCCAACTCACTTAGATTGGGTTCTCCTTTAAGAAGTCACTGAGACAAAAACTTGAGTAAAAACAATTTATTGGGAAATAAATCCAGGAAGCACCAGTAGAATAGCAGGGGAAGCAAAGGAAGCCAATAACGAATGGGTCAAATGGGAAGGTTACCCCTGAGAGAACCAGGAACTTAATCCCACTGGGGTCCTGAAAGACTGCACAGAGCATGCCTTAGAATTTTCCTTCCTGAATAACAAGAACACTTGAGTGATTATCCCACAATCTCTGTTATCAGTAGTTGAGAGCTGCTCTCAGAAAATGAACTCCCAGGCACTTCTGGCCTACCTACCTCAAAGGCCAACTGTGCCAGAGATCAGAGAATGCCCTAGGGGAGAAGGCTACAAACACTTAATAGAAAGCCTGTGGACAGCACTTAAGAAAACAGTGAATGTCATAAAAATATTGGCAGGACACCAAAAAAATTGTCACAAAAAATAAGGCTCCTATGAGTGTATGAGTATACATGAAAAATAATGACATTTAAAAATGGCAGCTATCTGCACATATCAGCACCACAGCCGCTGTGTAAAGCAAGGATCACAACGTATGTTTTAGTTTCTTTTTATATTGATTGGTCTGGCACGTTTCTTGAACAGAATACATGAGCATATATTCCTCTGATTAACTAGAAAATGTGTAGACACTGCTTACTTTCTGGCCTAAATGTCAATATGAACAGTACATGTAGATGGAATGGGTGCATTCCAGTTTTAATAGTGCCGAACAGTACCTTTAAGTACTCGTTTCTTATCTCCTTTCTGAAATAAAATTTTAGAAACAGATCTCGAGAACCATGGTTACACTGTCAAACAAAATAAAAGTTCACAATACTAAGGAACTTAAAGTACTTTTATACATAGGAAAACAGCATCTTTTAATGTTTTATTGTTCACTTATGAAAATACATATATAATATATATTACAGGTACAGAAGAGTCCCACAGCTTGAGTCAGAGGAAAGCTAACAAAAAAGGCACACACAGGGGCAGGTCTTTTCATACTTTTTTCAGTTAAACCAACACTCGGCGCATGGCAAGTGACAAGGAAGGCAGCAAACTACAGAAAGCCTATGTGCATGACTCTGGAGAACTAAGTCAGAAGTAACTCAAGTCTGCCAAGAATGGAGATCATCTCGGGAGAAAATAGCATGTCTACTTGATAGGCCTGTCAGACCATCAGAGAATATCTTGAAATCTGGACAAAGACACCACAGCAAGGCGAAAGCCAATGCTTAATTTTCGACTAGTTTGTTCTTCTCCACCTTCTCTTTAATACCTGATGTCTTTGCTAATTGAAAGAAGCAAACAACAGGGCTGACTCTGGTCCTGCAGAATTTTGGTCAATGACATGATGCAAGTTTGAAACAGATTAAATATATATATATATTTTTTAAAAAGCTTGTAAACACTGCTGATGGTGGGAAAAGCATAAAAAGCACATTTGCTATTTTTCTCTTATAGAAAAACATACATGTATAGATCTTTGGCTTGCCACATGTGTTTCTCTCTCCTGACATTTACCCAAAATGGTAAAAATGGAGGCACAATTCATGAGATGATGGGATTACTCCTATCATACGCCAGCAGAGGAGCCTACTAGGACTTGGCACAGCCGGAGCAGCTGACAACCTTGGACGACGTGAGGTGAGGCTTCACAACATCCGGCTCAATGGATTCCATTAGGTCACACTCGTTTGCGAGTATGTGTTTCACCAGGCATCTAGAGGCTTCATCAATGTTGATGTTTTCCTAAGGGGAAAAAATAAAACAGTTTTCTAACTCAATATTTTAAAATAACGCTGGAGCAGAGACCTCTATGTGATGAAAGGGCGGTACTTTTGGCAATTCATTTAAAAATCCCTTCCTATACACTATCCATGCATCCTCTCCCTGTTCCCCTCACTCTCATTATTTCCTTCAAAAATGATACTTTTTGGTCCCTCACAGAAGTAAAAATATTTATTTTGTTTTGTCATATAGAAGAAATAGCGCTTGGAGGATTCATTTAGTAGGTTAAATTTAAATTAGAGGGCATTTAAAAAAAATTCACACACTATTGCACTATAGTGTAACACTGTAGAAGACACATATCTTCAATCTAAATTAGATTTATAATTGCCCTCTGCCACATACTACTTTTGTGACCTTGATATGAAATAGGAATTATAAGACACTTTGTAGTATTCATTAATGTTTTCACAAATATTTCTGGCTCTCTGCCCTCCACTCAAATCGGGGGGAGTGCACTGGTCTGACCTCTTTAAAGTTAGGCATGGGCATATTTTGTTGGTCAATGAAAGTGAGGAGAAGTGATGTGTGCCACTTTGGTATAGGAAGGTTAAGAGTCAGTTCTCAGTTTCCCGTATATTTTCTCTGTTTCTTCTCATGGAAGCACAGAGATGGAAATTCTCTTGGATAAGATCTATGAGTGAGAATGAAGTAGAGGCAAGTATCCCCAACAGCCCATGGTGATATGTGCAACATGAATGAGAATCATGACTTTCCTTAAGTCACTGATATTTGAGGTTTTTCATTACTGTGGCTATATCTAGACACTCCAGATGGGTGTCCCTTTTTGAAAGAAAAAGGGAAATAAGAAATATGAGTTTAGTTTCAGGAATGAAGCCAACTTTAATTTAAAGAAAATATAAACATTTGAATCTAAAATATGTATTCAATTACCATAGGTTAAATTATCCCTTTTTTCTAGTCAAAAACTGAGAAATACAGAATATATACTACCAATGTACTAAAAATATCTTTGCCCAGGTAAAAAGTGATTAAGTGAAGGTCTCCAATAAAGTTAAAGTTAAGTTAATTTTAGTCACAATTTGTAGAACTTTTCTATATGTGTTTTCTCAAATTTCATGTAAAGAGACTTTCTTCTTGTCAAATTGTTTTACTAAACGATCTTGTCCAATTTGAAGTAGATCTAATTCCCCTGATTTCTGTATGTATGTTAAGTTGTTGATGTATTTAAAAATCTTTGTATCAAGTCATATTACATGAAAAATGTAAGAGGTAGTCATGATTTCCAAATGGCATCCATAGCTAATGCCATTAGCTATAAATATTTTATTTTATTTATTTTTTGAGTTGGAGTCTCACTCTGTCACCCACACTGGAATGCAGTGGCCACTCCCGGCCACTGCAGCCAAGACCTGCTGGGCTCCGGTGATTCTTCCGCCTCAGCCTTCCAAGTAGCTGGAACTACAGGCGCGCGCTACCACGCCCAGCTAATTGTTTATTTATTGTAGAGATGTGGTCTCGCCAAGTTGCCCAGGCGGGTCTCGAACCCGCGGGCTCAGGCAATCCACTCACCTCAGCCTCCCAAAGGCGTGGGATTACAGGCTGAGCCACCGAGCCCGGCTAGCTATAAATATTTATGCACATGCTCCCCACTCTTCAGTCCTGACCCTGAGTTCACCAGCTATGAAAGCTTAAGGTAACATTGGAGTTCCAGACAATAGCCTGATAATTTATTACCCCTCTAAAAAGTCTCAGTGAAAATGCTTCTGAGGTTTATAAAATCCAAAACATAGGGTAGCAGTCTTGTTGCTTTATTGCTTATTTGTTATGTTATTGTTGCTATTGGTTTTTATACCAGACTAGTATTTACGTCTATGAGCCTCCCTTTCCTCAACTATAAAATCGTCTTGATGATAGCACTTACCTAATAACAATTTGCTTCTCTTGACAGAGTATATTCAGTAGATATTGGGGCTTTCACAATGCGAACTTGGGACTTTATATACAAAATTTTATTTAATCACGTTTAAAACCCTAGAAGTTGAGGATTACAGTAGTTTTTTGTCCTTTTGGGTTTTGTTGTTATTGTTGAGATAGGGCATGGCAGTGACATTTTTTCCTTCAGTTCACTTATCAGCCTTATTCTATAGAGGCCCAGTCCGTAGAGAACAGCAATACTTCTGTCCTATACCCTGCTGGGCGATTGCTGTGCCTTAAAATCACTGTCCATGCTTGGCATGCCTTCTGACACACTTCCTCTTCCTAGTGGCATGCCCAGGGGTCACACTTCAACTACCTGCTCCCAGGCAATCATCTGACCTAGGAAGGGCCTGGTTCTCTTGGACAGATCCAGCCCAAGATTTTGCTCCTGCATCCAGCAGCTTGCTTATATGACTTGCTTATGTGCCTACTCAATGGTCCTTCACTGTCTCGTATTCAGGAAGGTGGGGATGGGTAGCCTCACTTAGCCTTCCAGGCCTTGGTCTTATGGGCCAGCACATCTCAATAAAGAAGACCTCTATTCAAGTAGTTTTAAGGTACTTACCCCAGCAGTTAATAAGTCAATACTTGGATTCCCATTGGCTATTGTTTGTGTATTGGGGAAGGAGGCAACAAAATTCCACCCCAGATACCAAACGTGATATATCATATATGACTGCAGATAAGGACATGTAAGTATAGAGAGGTGAGGGTTAGAAGGCCAGAACTTATCCTTGGGTCTTTCTGACATTAAAGCCTGGCTTTTGCTGAGCTATATTCTTTTTCAAGAATGTTTTTAAGTACATTAAGAAGTAAAAGTTATTTCTTTCGTGTTAGATCTAGTAGGTACTAAGGAAATCTTATTTTCTCTTTCATATAATAAAAACTTCTAAATAAATCTTATTTTCTCTTTCATATAATAAAAAAATATTTATATGACAGAAAAATCAAGTTTTAAACATTAAAAAAGGTCCTCCTTTACACACATTGTAAGTTAGATTTGCCAGTAGTATTTTTTTAAACCTCCACTCATATATTAACATGCCAGTTAAATAGAGTTTTCTTTCACTAATGTACAAGTTGATAAAATCTACTAATAAGTGTCAAAGGCTAGTGTGGGCAAGTCAATGAAAATATATCACCATTATGAGAAAAATAACTAAAATCTAAGCCCAATTAGTGACAGCCTAGCAGAATTATTTTAGTAAAAAATAAGATGATGCTGGTGAAATTTTTGTGAAGTTTGACACACCAAGTTAAGGCTGGATGATGTCAGGCATAGGACGTAAGACCACGGAGGACAGGGTTCAAGACAAAGGAAATAGGCAGAACCAAAGAGTGGCAGTATCTGCTTTTAGACTGCATATATGAACAGAGTAACAGTTGGTAACTGAGTTACACTTATTCATCCAGTTAATATTTAGATTACCAGTAAAAACAAAGCATAAAAAACAAAAATGATAAAATAAGTCTTATTTCTGACTGAGCTTACACACTAGCAAGGTTTGTGTAAATAGCAAACACATAAAAAGACTGGAAAGGAAATACAGGGACCAGGTCATTGTAAAACCTTGAATACTAAGTTGGCCAAGTAGAGTCATTGAGGTGAATGTCAATAAACACAGTTCTATAAAAATCCACTAGTAGGCAGGACTATATAGACCCTTAGAGTTTTGTTTTAACAATTGATCTATCAGTAAGTATTTAGTGAATGCCTATCCTATAAATCAGGGTGCTGGTTAAAATGGCATACTTAGTTCAGATTAGAAATTTTAAAAGAAAGCAAGAGAGAAGAGCAAATGCTATTATTTACCACTATATTCACCACATGCATACTATAAAAAGGCAAGGGGTACAGACTTTAAGCACAGGCCTGGAGATAAACCCTCATCGTAGTTCCTTACTTTCTGGTTGTATGACCTTGTAAAAATTACTTTAACCACTCTGTGCCTCAGTTTTCTTATCTGTAAAAGGAAGATTAAAAAATTTACCTCACAGATTATTGTAAGTGAATACATCCTAACGCTTGGAACATGTGAACTACCTAGAATGGTGAAGGGCAGAGAGTACATATTCAAAAAATGTTTTTGATCCATTTGTAGTTCGTAAGAATGATGATTGGGTATTACACATGTGTGACATGTGCCACACTCAAACCTTGTTATGACACTGGCACATGATCCATCTGACAATGAAAGAAAAAATGTTATCTGTATATCTTCCTTATGCAATTTAATCATCTAAAGAACAAATAATGTGTGTCTACTATTTCGATTACTTCATTTTACAGCTGAGGAAACTAATAATGAGAAAGGGTAAGTGGCTGGCCTCAAGTCACACAGCAGTAAGTGCTGGGGCCAGTTGTGGACTCAGAGAGAAAAATGAATACTAATATCTACACAGCAGCGAGGTGCATAGTATTTAAAACACAAGCTTGAAGTCAGACGCTTATCTCAATTCCCCCAAAGTAAACATCCCAGGAACATCTTTTACAAGAAAGGAAGAGTAAATACTCTATAACTTCCAAGACACACACATTTGGCCTGGATCTGCAATTCATTTACATATCTGCAATAAGAAAATATGGTCTATTTTGCTGACTGCTTTAGGTTGATGCGTGCTCATCTTTGTGCCACTGCTCCCAATATTTTCATTGATATTGATAAGCAGCCCTGAGGAACAGGTTTCAAAATTTTTAAAGTAACATTTTAATAAAAACAAATGGTAGTAACTACCAGAACTAAATAGGTACTTTATTCATAAACGCATCCAGTCCTCACAGAAACCTATGATAGAGCTAATAGCCATATTTTTTAAAAGAAAGGAAGCAAGAAAAAACAAGGTTAAGTAACTTACTCTGAGCAGAACATGATCTTGGCTACTCTGTCATTTCAGGCAAGACGGGCACAATTCAAATTTCCATCCTGCTCCCGCACATTACATTACAATATCTCCCGGGATTAAAACAGATATCAACATAATTTTGTTTATAAATCAGTATTTCTCAATCCTGGCTGTAT